CAAATAAAATCTTATCACCAGTCTTTGGATTGCACTACAGTCCTCTTTTCCTGTATCTAAGTTCCCGCATAGATTTGATTGAGGTTATTGGAATCGGTTAGGAAGACAGTTTAAGTGTCTCGGTAGTATTCTGTTAACATTTTCAGAATATATGTATAAATGTGTGTATTAAAACTGTTGTTATTATGAAATAATGCTAATACTAATAAAAGCAGTTCATAGATTACACCACTTGAATCCGCGTTTTATCTGATAATAAGTCAGAAATGACTGTAACTTTACTTGCATCACAATCACTAGAAACAATTCGTCAGATGATGGCTTAATGTACTCAAACTAGTAGAGTTTATTGGTTGATCCAATTAACAATGACTCAGACAAATGTATCTGGAATCAATAAATTTTACTGCAGTTCCGAACTCGTCTGTTAAACTTGATTTGATGGATGAGTGTTCAAGACAACTATTTAGATGTGATTTATGTATGTAATAATGAAATCTTTCTGGAATAGTATGGCGTGGCAAACTATCAAACACTGAGATCTATATTTTTATAGTGTGAATATGAGCAGAGACCATTCACATATAGCTAAACTAAATGAATTTTAGAGATACATTTTTGTCCGTATTATGACCTTGTCTTTTTGTGGCTAGATACGCAAAAATGAAATGTTTTGCACCAAGTTTCACACTTTTAATTTGTTTAAAGGAAGAATTTTCACAGGAACACATGAATATATCTTATACGGAATAACTATTGAGATCCTGCTTTTCTTGCGATTTATTCTGCTCTGATGTGGATAAGTAATGAACGTATAATTTCCCCAAGTACATGATTTTCAGACTCTGTATTCATCTCAATTACTTCGATGAGTTGTTTGTGAACGATAGTAGCGCAGTCAAACCATGACTTCGTCGTTCTTTAACACAGACAATAAGATTTGAATACCTGTTACAAGTACTAAAATACGACTCAACACATTACCATAGAATTCTAAATTTCTGTAAAATCCATTTTACGATAATGGCACATATATATATGTTTAACTGAAGGTTAATATCGTAGTTTGACCTTTGGGTTCACATACGGAATTGGTTGGCTGAATACCATTAAAATATTCACTTGTATGCAAAATGTACAAATTAAATCAAGGTTGAATTAATCGATTAGTAGCGGTTTGATTCTTGAAGTTATTTAAAGTGTAAGTGTGGTTGGAAATTAATCCAAATCACAAAAATAAACGTACAATAGTTCACTTAGATTGCTCCACATTATTGATATACTGTTGTGCTTAGTAGTTAAACAGTTTGCTCAGTTAAGTTTGGTCAACTATGTAAGTCACTTTTTGTTAATTTTATACAGACAATGTAAATGGACAATTAGATTAGCATCTACTGTTGGTTTTAACAAATTAAAATGGTCATATAAAGTCATTTGAATTGTTTGTAAATATATCAGTAAGTGCATGAATGACGCTTATAGCCTCTAACTGGACTTCCAACTTTCAATACAGTGTGATTTTACCTTGAAGTTCAACATGGTGTGGCGTTAAACGAAAGTAACGAAATGATCAGCTTTTTAGATATTCAACAATTTAATAAAACAATTAGTATAGGATTGAGTTTAGACTGATATCATGAATGGGTCAATGTTAGAACACTGTTGAAAATCTGGAAGCACTGAACTGCCGTGTCATCCTATTACGGAACTCCTCAGCAGTGTTCATACACGATTCCGCGCACGGGACTCGAACTCAGGACCTTCGGTTTCGCGCGCGAACGCTTGACCTCGAGACCGCCGAGTCAGTATGCAACAGTGATCCGTTCATGAAACCAGTTATTTTACATCTTGTTCTCCACACTTTGAAAAGTTCTCTGCATAGTCAACTTCACAATTTTTTCGTGCAAACTGATCAATAACGGAAATATACCTCTCCACTCATGCCTATATTACTATTTTCCCTCGTTATCGACTAGTTTTTCATTTTCAACTTGCTGTGATATGATAAACTATGTCAATAGAATAAACTGTGATCAAGCTTTTTAAATTTACATAAAACTGGTATAAGAAGTGTGGAACTTGAACCACTGTATATTATATTGTGCTAGTCCTATATCACATCAAAACTAAGTTCACGACAGAGTCATCTTCAAAAATGTATCTTACAACTTCTTCAATCACGCTCATCAGTGATAGGTTGACAAGCGTTTTCGGCTGGTATTTAAAGGTTACATGACATATCAGTTAAGAAAGATATTCGTGTAGGCAACAATCGCGTAAAATGTTTAAGCTGGAAAATATTTCTGTCCCCTACTGTACAAATGATTTGATATATTGAAAACGACTGATGTAATAAGGATTAGTTTTATAACAGTTAGTAAAATCTATATAAATGAAAATTTTCTTCCTACGATTATTAGTATTCGTGAGCTATAAAGTGCTGCTTAAAGTGTTCTCATTAAGTTGTTTCTCAAAGGCATAGTTGACTGGAAATCATGAATTAACATGAGAAAACAAGTTTGTCGATTTCGAAATAAATTTAATACGCAGTTATTGAACAATAATCAATAATGCTGCTTTATTCTTATCCACCGAACAGTGTGAAGGTAAAGATGATTTCGTTATAAATTATTGAATTCCTGTCTTTCTACGTAAAATACGGTGCACAAAGAAGTATATTACATTTAAACGATTACAAACGTGTTTCATAATTCTTACAGTATAATTTCATATCCTGTTTGTATCTATTTCTGATAAACAGACCAGTTTCTTATGACAAATTCGAGTAAATATAAACTTCTCTGATTGATAATCTCATAATATGAAAGTCCTTCCACTAATTTGACTGTGTATAAATTAATATATTATTTATGATTTTTGTGTGCTGTTTTTGCATACGAGGGTGATGTAACAAGTTCCCTATCTTTTTTTGTTTTTCTTGTTTATAATTATCATTTCATATTCATTTGAACTTTTAGCTAATTGACCATTTTCACTTTTTCGTACATGGAAATGCTTTGGTAAGTATATGTGTGACGAGATTGTACGAAATGAATAACGTAAATGCAGTACATTTTTTCAGATTAAATCTGTTTTCATATTGGTCTATCAAAATTTAGAAAAGTTACTTATTACTTTATACAGATATATTTGACTCAACTCAAAAAACACATTCACAATTTATTTCTCTGAATTCTTTGAATTTACCGAATAGTACATGACTTTGAATTTCTACAAACTTTGAAGAATATCGAGATTTTAATGTGGGCTTGTTGTGTTAGTGAGAACACCTTAATTAATGCACTCTTCTTATTCAACTGTTTTCCTTTCTTTATAGTGATAGCACGAAACACCTTTTTACTGTATTGAAATATCGACAATTAGTCAGTGGATTGTTAAGAAATATTCAGTCTTACTGACCTTCCATAGGTAAAACACGAAGATTGTAGTATTATATATTAGACAAATGTGATGTAAACTTCAGATTTGTTAATCATAGTGATAATAACAGTTATTCACCTAAAAATCTTTTGTACTTTTAAATAACATTGTATAGAATAGAGATATTGCTTGTTAATATAGCAGTCTTTTTTATTCCCCCTTGATATGCAAATCTTACATGTCTATGAAAATCTATAACTAAGTTGTAATAATAATATTTATTTAACATAAACATAAGAATAATTAACTAAAAAAATACTGATGTTACATAATAGAATGTATTTCAACAGTGAGTTGTAAAGATTTTGATTATAAATGAAATTATTTGGTAGTTAATTTATACGAATATTCGTCAAGATTAAAACGAATGGTTTGACAGAAATTGGGCGCCAAGTATAGAGAAGTTATTATATGTGAAAATTATATTTGAACTAATCTCAATGATTGAAATTCAAATAATTCCAATGTTTCGTCCAGCTAACTTGTCTGGACTTCTTCAGGGTAATAATCAAAATCGAAATCATCAAAGAAATATATAGCTTTTAAGAATGAAAACTATACTGTGTTAAACCAATCATAGTTAGATGTTGATTTTTGTAAAATAGGAAAACATGAGTCAGTTAAATGCGAAACATGTGAAAAATTCAACTACATGGAAATAATTAACTGAATAACAAATTGTATGTGTGATTGGTTTAACACAGTATACTTTTGATTGGTAAAAGATTATATCTTCCTTTGATGATTTTGATTTTGATCATTACCCTGAAGAAGTCCAGACAAGTTAGCTGGACGAAACGTCGGATTTAGTTAAATTTCGATCGCTGAGATTATTTCAAATATAGTTTTCACATGTATTTGAAAGTTCATTACAATATTTTATTTGGAAAACAGTCCCGATGAAACAATTTACGGAAATGAAAAAAAATTGAAAAGAGAAAAAGAGAGAAAAATAAAAAAGAGAAAAAAAAATTATATATGGTCATGTATGTTGATGCGTTAGTAACAAATTTCTATCGGAAGCAAAACAATAAGTTTTGTGAATAAGTAACATGTTTCAATATTATTAAACGTTCCCTGGAAATTTAAAATGATCCATTACATTACAAATTCTAAAAAAGAACATTTATTCATATTCATGATTTCTTTTAACATTTTATGTACAGTATAGATCAGTGTTCTGATCTTTGATTGTCATTATTCTACCCAAAGTAGAATTGTATAGTAAAATGCTTCATTCGCTTAATTGATTAAAGACACATAAATCAACTAATTAAAGATGTAAAATTTACATTTATTTTAATTATGGTCTATTCGTTAATTTTTCTCATTTTCTGGATTGCATAAGCAAAAGATGTAGTTTATTAACTAATTAGAATAGCATGATTTTGAGATGGTGGAGAAGATTTGTAGCTCAGGTAGATGATTTTGGTGGTCGACCAAACCATCCAGCTCAGAGAACAAAACTCCACCAGAATATCATGATATATATTATTTATTCTGTTCATTTTCATACTTTCTATTCCTCATTATATAGTACAATATTGCTTAAAATGTATTTATGCATTACCTATTTCAACAAAGATTTATTTAAACTTACAGCAACAAGCTAGTTCAAATCCATCTGAGCTATAATCAGTTATGCTGTTTGACTGTTGAAATTTGTAGTAACCAAAACAACGCGGAATTTCCAATTCCTGAAATAAGAAATAAGAGTAAAAATATTCAGTTCAGTAAAATAAGAATTAATAAAACAAATAATTAGCTGATATTAGTCCAATGTTTATTTGTCTTTTAAAAAATGATTATGAAGTTGGTACATCCACTAAAAGATGTTACTGTTAATCAATTGAATTAATTATGATTTGAAATTATCAGTGATGAATTTGTTGAACTGCTGTCAGAATTAGTCTTTACAGTCTTTTGAAAAGGAATATATACGTGAAAATTGTTTTCCACAAGTTACATGAAATACAGTTTAATACAGTTTATCGGCCTTCTGTAACAGTTCATAAAACATACACTTAGTAGAAGACAAATAGAATGAAGTCACATTTATTTTCAATTAGTTTTTCATTTCATCATAATCATGAGTCGACTCAATATAAAATACCATTGAAAATCTAGAAGCATCTGACGGCCGTTTCGTCCTTGTGTGGGATTCCTTAGCAGTGCGCATCCACGAATTTGCAAACGGAAATCGAGGCCAAAGCCTTCGGTCTTAGCATTTACACAACTGGGCTGGGATTCAACAGTGAATTGTCCAACGTCATTCAATCCACGATATGGTATGACTATCTTCCATTGTCTTCGGTAAACAACTTCCTCATACCTAACAAGATTTAGCTCCACTACACATGGATTCTCGCTAGAAACCAAGAATTTTTCTCTCGAAGTTAGTCACCAGTGACCACATGATAACTGTCAGTATAAGTTTATGGATGTTGTTGAATTTTATTAAAATAATGGACAGATCATTTTATATTGATAACCATGTTTTACAATAGTCATAAGATCAATTAGTGATGCGTTAGTTAACAATATTACAAATCCAAGTGTTTATGATAATAGTAGTACATAATCTAGAGCAATTAAAAGACGTAAGTGAATGGAGTAATTACAATCCATAGATTCATTTATTGATAATTCATTTGTGACATCTTATAGAACTTGCAAATTACGCAATATATAACACAGAAAATGATAAAATGTTTAATGAAACGTCACGACCAAACCATCCAGCTCAGAGAACGAAACTCCATCTAAAACGTCAAGCACTGACAACAATTAAGTAAGAATAAGTAAAAGAATATAACAGTTATGTGAAAACAAAATGAGGAAGTTAGTTTTGAAAGCTTAAACAAAAGAAATGAAGTTAATGAATCATTTTTCATTCACCCAAATATTAGCTTTATTGATCAACAAGATACGGAAAGTGGCTGCATAAATCATTTATTAACATAGTTTTAAGTTTGCTAAGCTGGGTTTTCACAGCCTCAACTGTACATGTATACATAAATAACGCTGTAAATTAGTAAAACAAAACGGTGGCTAACTTCACAGGCATTGTTCAGTTTCATTTCATATCCTCTATCAACTAAACTAGCAAATTTGGTGCTTTCAACTATCCGTTATATGGTCAGGGATGATGATGTTCGAAAGTTAGGCGAAAAACCTGCTTAATCGTGTTATCAGTCTATCTAGCTCAATTAGAATATTTCTGAAAAAAAAAGTATAAATATAAGGCTGATTCACACAGCTTAGTATAGTGTCTGGTTGTGTGGCCTTGATGGCTTAAGAGAAGCAATCGTTTATTGTACAGTCTTTCATGCCAGTTGAATTTCTAAGTGTCAGCTAATACAATACTACTTCATTATCATTGGTTTTAATGATACGGATGTAAAACTATCATGAATAATTAATGGGAAAGAAACATTTCCTTTTATTCACTTAATTGTAAAATATAACTGTAGAATAAATTGACATCAGTGTTAATAAATCACAATCAATGCATAAAAATTTAGATGTTTAGCTAGAATGTAAGTGATTAAATTGAAACTACTGAAATTATTACATGTGCATAATATGCCCAAATACATCTTTCCTGCTAGATAGGAATATTTTGTTTGAATGTAATGTTCAGTAAAGATATATTTTGTAAATTTCATGATGGTGATCATCAAACTGAAAGAACTTTATAACATTCGAAACGAACAATTGAAGAATGAGAAATGTAGATCCCCAGATTTAATTCAAATTCTCCATTTTTAAAGAATTAATGTTAAATTTTGTCCTAATGAAACAAAAATATTGATTTGGTTACTTTTTATAACTACGAAAAAACTGTTATTTGGTACGTATTATGACTACCTAAAGATCGATACCGCTCGATGCAAGGAAGAACTCTAGACTATAGATGAAGATTTTATCATTCACCAACAAACATAGTTCGACAACTTTGTCAAAAATTCACTTATTCATATATCATCTACTATCTAGTCAACAGACATATTTTGAATACATTGAATTGAATTGTACTTGGTATCGACTAATCCATTAATTAATATACGTACACAGTTTACAATATAGATTGATTGGGCTGCTTCAGCTTACAAATGTAACTAAATTGAAATTGTAATATATTCTCTTCTTCCTAAGAAATCTCAACATTAATATATTTAAATATTTAGTTAATGATCTGGTCATGATGTTTGACACATGAAGTTAGATATTAACACCGTTGGATGCTGGCTCAGTGGTCTAGAGGTTAAGCGCTCGCGCACGAAATTGATAGGTCCTGGGTCCGAATCTCGCTAGGCGGGATCGTAGATGAGCACTTCTGAGAAGTCCCATACTAGAACGAAACGTCTGTCCAGTGCTTCCAGGTTTTCCATAGTGGCCTAGCTTCAACTGACTCATGATTCCAACTATTTAAATTACTATAATATCCACAAAACCCATTCTGATATTAAAATACTATAGAGCTATCCATTTTATTTAACTTGTTAGCTTTCACAATATCCCAAAAGCTTAAAAATAAATATTATTGAAATAGAAATAAAATGAAAAACTCACGTCAATGTAAACAATTACGATAAATAAAGATTAACAACTAAACTTACCCTTTTCAAAATAATTAAAGTACAATATGAAGTTTTTAAACAAGTTGATTTACATCGTTCATGATTATTATTTTTTAATTCTAAACTAAATAAAGATATTCTGTTCCCAGACTTAGTTGTACTCACAGGTATCCATACTCCTAAATCATCTGAACATTTTAAGAGTGATAATTTTTCTTTTGGTAAAGAAATACATTGACAGTTTAACAATTTCATTAAGTAAATTGTAATTACAAAAATCTTAACACAGTACATGTTCAGTCAATATAAACCAATGACCTTGAAAATTGAAAGGACTCAGCATATATATATATATATATATATATATATATATATATATATATATATATATATATATATATATATAACAGGTTGTTTTGAAATATTTCACATTTGTTTGCCAATAGGAGTATATATCTGTGACTTTAAAATACCTTAAACCTAATTTTTATTGGTTCATCAATGGCACTATTTATTGTATACTTCTATCTTACTTTCTAGTTTATTTACTGAAAAATTATTTCTGTTTTAATATGAAGTTATCAAATAGTTTCTATGGATGGCACGTAAATCATCTATAATATGGAAACTACAGTATTTTCATGAACTCATTTCATTATGCTTTCCTTGTTTTATAACTCAACTTAGCTATCATATCTTAAAATGAATTTCAAGGAAGTATGTATGAAAATATATTTACGTTTACTCTATATCAATTATACATAAACTTATTCAATATGTTTCATCCTTCATTTATCAAATTTGATTTGTAAAATAAAATATTTCATTCTATATGAAATTGTTTATTTTTGATGGAGTTTTGTTCTCAGAGCCGGATGGTTTGGTCATGGAGCCTTCATCGTTCTTTTGAATGATTGTTCACAGTCAAACCACTTTCACTAAGTTATATGTTTAGTGTTAACAACTAATTTGTTGCAGTTTTTTGGAATATGAATGTACTTTTATCATATTCAAAATTTGTCATATGCTTATCACTAATAAAACCTGACAAAGTCACAGCTGATAATTATTCACGAAGAAATACCCATAATTTTTAAAACATGTATACATGTATACATTATCTAATCATGTATAATGTAAAAGTACATAAAGGAAATTCATGTTTGTTCAGTAAGTAAACAAAGATGATACGAAGCCTTGAACCTACATTTCATGCTACGTGCTAATAAGTAGGAGGATATAGATCAGTATCTAGAGATAAATAACATAATAATCATGTTTGTTTGTTAAACATTAAACTTTACAGATACACCGAATGCTTTACATTTTTTTACAGTATACTATTTTCAATCCTATGAATGAAGTTACTTGTTGCTTTTTGGACCTTTCAAAGGTTACTTTTAACGCAGAAAGTATTACCTGTAAACGCTCCATTCGTTATATCTATTACTTTCTAACGTAGGAGCTTCATTATAGGATTGGTATTCGTTGAGTGCTGTAACTAACACTATAGTTAGACTCATATAAACCGAAGATCAGTATGATAAGCAGTGAATGTTTCATACATTTCGACGCGCTATTAAGTAAAATAGTGCCAAAATATAACTAGAATTAGAATAGTTTGTTTGATTTATATGAGTCTCGATAACCAGTTTAATATGAAAAACAGCATTGCAATATTTCAAGTATTCACACTCTTAACACTTCAGTTCCATGATTCACGTATAATTGTACTCAAATTTATAGTTTGTTTTTGAGTTTCATACACTATTCACACAAGACGTGTCGTTTATGGTGTATCTGATAATAGGTTTTCACAGTAGTAAAATCAGATATCTCCCTATCGATGTACTTTGTTCAGTGAACTGAACTACTTTATAAAATAGCCAGCATATTGAATTGTAAACCGCAAAATGTGTTTGACAATGTTCATCACTCATAAATCACACTAAGAATTAAATTTATGTAGTTAATAAAAATTGATACCTTGTTATCCAACGTCTTCGACAAAAGTTGAATATAAATAGAAATATTGTAGATTGAATTTGCTCGATGAAACATCTATTTTTTTCTTGGCATGATATTCATTAGACTAGTACTCCATTCCTTGCCCTCCATATTCTTCAGAAGATCAATTTCACTGTTTTTGCCAACATTATTTTCAGATACATTTTTCCCTTACTCATATTTTATACAAATGGAATAAACCCCAAGCCATTGTTAAAGTTTAAATAAATATATTGATCTATTTCCTTACATAAATTTTGCTTTTCAAGGGGTATTCAAATTTCATTATATCTATGTATACCTATTTTAGACGAAGAAAAAGGAATGTAATGAATATATGGTAAGTTTCATGAAAATACAACATTCTTTGGTCATATGAAAGTTGCGAAACGCTGTCTGTTTTGAGAACTCATTGAATATTCCGATTGCTACATTGAAAACATTTTGCTTGCTTCATTCATATATCTATCATCAAACGTTTTTATTCTATACTAACACATTATCACTTATTTTCATCATTAATAAGATTATTAGTAGTTTATTTAGAACAAAGGAAGGGAACAGTATGAAATAAAGCATTATCAAAAGGTTTTCCCCTTTTTAAAGTATTTCTACTTTCATATACCTCATTCTTTACTATTTTTTGTTTCTGTAAGACCAATGACGAATGAGAAAAACAGCTTACGAAAAACAACCTAATTTATGGACAATATTTGTTCATTGTTGTTTGTAAAATTTTCTTAAAAAATCATTACCGAATTCAGTTAAATGTGAATTTTAAAAAAGAACAATAAGTGTTTGTGCACCTTTATCCAGATGATTCATTTTTTAGGATTGTCTTTTTCAACTACCTTCGTATGAAGTATCTAAAAATTCAAGGAAATACCTACTATGTATAAAATATGAGATTAGTTATAAAAGATGTAACTAATTTGCTCACAAAATGAACGATCCCTTTGTAAAGTTGAATCGCTAATACCATTCTTTTACTTGGTGACTTTATAATTAAGTTTTAAACAAACTTCGAAGTCCAAAAGATTGTATATGCTAAGTCTCTTTAACGTTGTCCTTATTTACTTCCATTCGACTCTTTTGTGTATTGTTTTATACTACTTATAAAAATGTCAGTAAATAGTTGTATTCCTCGCAATTTCTACGCTTACGTTGTGACGCAAGTTTGTCGTGTAATCATCTGAAATATTTGCATAAATTTATAGCATTTATTCTATTCATCATTATAATTACTTTAACTCAATCATGTTAGCAGTTATTCACAAATTTTCGCGGTCATTTAGCCCTTATTCAAATGCAACAGTTTCCATATTACTTGCTCTTAGTTTGATTTTAGCTTGTTAGCAAACCGTTATCAATATAAGCAAAGATGGATAGTGGCTAACAGTGGAATCCATGACGCGCGTTTCGTCCTGTTTGATACTCATCAGCTGGATGTCCCTGCATCTCAGAGTTGATGTCCATTCTGGGACTCGAACTCAGTACCGTTCGCAGGTACATCCAGCTGACGAGTCCCAAACAAGACGAAACGCGAGTCCTGGATTCCACTGCTAGCCACTATCCATCTTTGCTTATAATGCTTGTAAATTAAGGCAATATCGAGGCATACGCACAGTATGCACATATGCCAATAAGAGGCTGATCAATTTCAGTCCTAAAACATCAATAGGACGATTCAAGTAAAACAAGACCAACTGAATTAAACCGTTATCAAGTTTAGAAATAGCCAACCGCTATCATTTGTACACTATCAAAGCCTTTTCATTTCAGACAAAGGGAGCCAGTAAACGCCACAGACACCTCACAAGTTAAGGTTTGTAACTAATGTTTGTATATTATTCAATAAAGAACGGCTATTATAGACAAATCCTTGCTTTGTAAACTTCAGTTTTGAGCGTATCTCAATTGGGTGATTTGGACGCTTCGCTAGACTTAACAATAATACTATAAAGCTATCGATTTCAAAGAAACCCGACTATACTAGTCAATACATAGGGTTTTACAGTGTTTTTACTGTTATAATACAAGCGTATCTTCGTATGGTCTCTCTTCAACAGGATCCAACGAATTTGTTTTATAGATGTGGTTGAAGAAGATAAGAAACTGCTGGCTAAAAAAATAACGTGGAAATCTGTTAACGTTTAAGAATCGATATAAGTTATTTAACATAGAAATTACTCATAAATTCCGCTTTGATGGAAATGTTTCACATTACTTCCCTTATATCGGAGAATTAAATTGATTAAATCTCCGATAGAAGCTGAATACAGAAGCTGAGAAAACATACTGTGCCACTAAATTGATTATTCGAGAGCAGGTAAGCCCCATGATTCAACATAAATCTAAACAAACAGACACATTTACATCATATTCCAATGCCTTTCCTTATTCACATGCATGCGAATACATATACAAATGGAGAGGTAAACAAATAATCCATTCGAGGGTCGTAGAATGTGTGCCTAATTGGCTTCAGTATAAGTTAGCTTCACATGACTTGATAAACTCAGTGAGTCGAAAACCATATTTTTCGACAGTGACAACTGTCAAAAGTACATTCTTAGGTCTACGATTAAGAATCCATTCCTCAATTGTGTACGAAAATAAATTGTCCCAACCCTTAATCTAGCCTGTTACTTTTCAAAGTTTCTTAATGCTTAGGTTGCTACGATAACAATTTATTCTGTTTTTATTATATTATCTGTTGGGGTATTCAGGAAAATATACCCAAAATTATCCTGTTAAGCCTAATGCTATCCTTGGGCATGAAATGGTATCATCTTATTGGTCAATATTTGTTTAACGTGTCATTTTCCTACTGGCAATTATTGTACAATGTTATTTTCTATTTTATGGTACGTTGTAGTCTGCTTGACTGGTATATAAACAAAGTATGTTTGAAATATAATGATTCATATATCCGAGGATGAGACTTGTGTTTTGGACTTAACTGGCTGGGCTAGACAGGGAAGCGGGACCAATCAGAACCCTAGGTCGTTCTACGTGTTTGCGCGTCTTTGGTCCGATCAATAATTCGCTACCCCCTTAATCCGCAGCATTAATTTTTCACGTTATAACTGTACCTTTACTTGCATCACAATCACTAGAAACAATTCGTCAGATGATGGCTTAATGTACTCAAACTAGTAGAGTTTATTGGTTGATCCAATTAACAATGACTCAGACAAATGTATCTGGAATCAATAAATTTTACTGCAGTTCCGAACTCGTCTGTT